TACTAACGTAGTATAGATATTATAGCAGAGTCCTAAGCCTACTATTCTATTAATCCTTAGACCTACTATAATAGCCTTTCTACTATATTAGGTTACACCTAATTATTCTAAACATCTAGCGCGTCTATCTCTTATTACTATTATAGTATATTTAGAAGAAGATACTAAAATATTATAGACTAGCCTTAAGGGAGAATATAATAAGCGTTAATAATAGTATTTAGTATCTTAAAGGATAGGTAAGCCCTCTACGCCTTTTTATAGGTGTGCAGTGTGTGTTCGCTTAGTAGTAGTAGTGTTAGACTTAGTCCATCTTGTGTTAGACCTAGGCTTAGGCATAAGCCTAAGCCCTTTATATAGAGACTACCTATAAACGCTATATTTAGAACTGTATCCCTTATAGGAGAGGTTACCCTAGATAGCACTAACTCCCTAGTATACTCTACCCCCTTCCTATCCCTAGTCTACTAATACAACACCTGTGCATTAATTTTAAGGATTTTTGCTAGGATTAACTTAGTTATAATTAGATTATATTTATTATTAATTACCTATTAAAGTAAGCTATTACTATCCCTTGCTATAAAACTATAAACACCTAAGGTATAGCTACCTTATTTATATAGTAGGTGTACTAATTTAGACACACTCTAGATACTATTATTTCTAATTAAGGCCCTTAGTTTATATCTAGTTTCTAGTCTAAGTTCTATTAGATTATAGGCACTAAAGTTAAGCTCTCTATAGCCTACTATAAGTAAACTAATAGATAAACTAAGATTATAAATAAGTATATTAATTAGAGACTAAGGCCTTTTATATCCTATTACTAGAATAACTAGAGCAAGCTACTACCTATAATAGACTATGCCTAAAGTACTCTTCTATATTTATCTATTAGCATAGCTCTATATTAGCTCCTCTTTAGCTCCTTACTAAAGTAAAGCTAGTATTAGAAACTAGAAAAGACCCTATCTACTATACTAGAGAAACTAAACTATAAGAACACCTTATCCCTTACTACTTAGATATATAATATATAGAAGATTGCTAAAGAAAATATAGAAATAGCTTAGGACTAAATATACTCTACTACTAATTACTATTACTATCTAGTTAATTAGAAGGTTAGTAACTATATTTATTTATCTACTACTAATCTTGCTATTTTATAACCTAGCTAAAAACTATCTAAACGCTAGGAAGGTCCCTTTAAGGTATTAGAGCAAGTAGGAAACGCATATTACCTCTAATTACTACCTAGTTCTAAGATCTATAATATTTTCTTGCCTAATATACTATATAAAGATCCCTAAGACCTACTACCTAAATAAGAGGCTCTAAAACCCCCTAGTACCCCTATATAAGGTATAGAGGAATAGGAGGTAGAAGAAATCCTAGCTAGCAAATTATATTAATCTAAGCTAAAATATAAGGTTAAGTAGGTTAAATATAATCCTAATCCTGTTTAGTATCCTACCTCTAACTTTATAGGAGCTCCCTATATATTATAGGTATTCTACTAATAGTATCTAAATTAGCTAGGTCCCCTATATAGCTTACCTAAATAGATTTAATCCTAGGAAAAAGGTAAAGAGGATCTAATATTACTTTATAATAATTATACCTAATATTAGAACTAATTTATATGCTATTTAGCTATAGATTATACTATTAACTACTATCTATTACTATTATTCTTATTATTATTTATTATTATATCCTATTTAGAACTATCTTAGAACCCTTAAGGTTCCTAGGATACTACCCCTAGGAAACCTCTTTTATTCTATATCTATTACCCTATTAGATCCTAGCTTAGACTCTATATTATAGTAGATCCTGCCTATATTAGGTTTCTTAGCTAGCTTCTAGATAACTAGTTTAGTTAGTTTTAGAGCAGGTATAGGAGCTAGAGTAGATTTAGACGCCTTCTTAATAACTACCTTTATCTTAGCCTATATTACTAATATTACCTCCTAATTTAGCGCTATTTCCTCCCTAAGTTTATTAATAGCCCTTATTATACCCCTAACTAATATAACTATCTTATAGATACTATTCTAAAGGTAATATAAATTAGATATAATAGTATAATAAGTAGCTATAAGGATCTTAGTAGCTTCTATACCCTTAGTTTAAGTATTAGTAATAGTAACACACTTAGCTAGGTTTTAGGTAGCTTTATAAATAGTAGCCTTAAACTACTTAATATCCTTCTAATAGGTATTTATAGCCTCCTTCTTTTTATCCCCTTTAGAAGGGTTTATAACTAGGCTATAGAATTTGTCTAAAGCACCCCTAAGGGTAGAGTACTCTTAGCTAATAAAGGAAGGAATCTACTAGGATTAGTAAAGGAACCCTATTAGACTTAGATACTTACTAGATTATAATACTTATTCTAGGAAATATAGTACTAGCACTTCTTAGAATTCTTTAACTTAAAATTAAAATTATTAAACTTGCCCCTAGCTAGAGCCCTAGCTGCCCTTATATAGAGGGCTTAATAGGTAATAGGTAGGACTCCTAGTAGTACTAGTACTAGCATAGCTAAAGGTTCTAATTTAGATTAGCAACTACTTAATTATATAGATTAAATACTTACTAGATTTTAGATAGATTAGGTTAAATATTAAAAAATTAGGGATATAGGAGTAAGAAATTTTGTAGGTAGAGGGCTAGTTATAGGTAGGCTAGGGATAGGGGTCTGTGCCCTAGGAAGCTAGAAGCTAGAAGTAAAGGTAAAGGCAGAGGTAAAGGTAGATTATTTTGCAAAAAGCTTCTCTTTAATAAGGTATCTAAACCTAATCCTAAGGATAGGGACTATTCTTTCTCTATAGGAGGGGGTAGTATAATAATAAGGTAGAATTGCCTACCTATTATTCTATACTAAGTTAGGCCTAATAAAGGCCTAACTTACTAATATATATAGAGAGTAGCTTGCCTATAGTTAGGATAGGCATGTTCTTCTTATCCTTTTATACAAGACCTATAGGTGTAGGAATCTTATCCTTTTCTATATAGACGCGCACTCCTATATGCCTTTAAGTTGTATAGGATACCTTTTAGATGCCCTACCTACCTAAGTTATTACAAACCTACTTATATAAGACCTAACCTAAGCCTAATATCTATGTAACCTAACTCTACCCTAAGCCTATAGCCTATATAACCTAAACCTAACCTAAGCCTATAGCCTATACAAAAATTTGTAGTTAGGTTTAGGTTAGGTTTAGGGTCTTATATAAGCTAACCTAACCCTAACCTAACCTATACCTATTTACTACCCTAACTACACGTAACAAGCAGAAAACTACTAAGTAACTAGAAAAGTAACTCTAAAATAAAATAAAATATCCTAAATAGGTAAGAGGTAAATCCTTAAGCCTCCTACTATTATACTAGCTAAGGTGGTTAATAAGGAGCTAGTAGAAGAGGATATAGTAGTAGAGGCAACGTTATAGCGTAGGCGCCTAACTAGACCCCCTAAAAAGCTGCTTATATAATCTAAAATATTTAATCTACTCTAATAGATCTAATAATTGTAACTCTAAAAAATCTTGTAATAATAGCTATTGTGGGTGGCGCAATATCCTTATTTAGTGGGTGGTAGATTTTAGTGTTGGTGGGCGCTCGGTGGGGGTGGGCGCTCGGTGGTGGATCACGTTACCTAAGAGGAGAGGTAAGCTCTCCTCGCCTTTTTATGTGCGTGTAGCGCGTTCGCTTGAGGGTAGTGTTGGCCCTTCCACCATTTGGTTAGACCCAGGCTTGGGCATAGCCCAAGCCCTTCACAGTAGGGTAGCTAAGGATATTAGTGAGAATGGGAGCTTTGCTGCCCATGATCCATCAGCTACATTAGGTATCAGAGCTCGCAGCATGGGAACTTAAGGTCACGCTTTAGACAAAGAAAACTTAAAACCCTCGCTTTTTATCGCACTCAGCTCATTCACTTTATGGCTGAATATCTGCGTATAATGTAGGCGGTATGACGGTTCGACACCGAAAAATATGAGGAAAGGATCGACATCTGCTCGCCATGATGGAAGGACACACCAAGACGTAGCATTCATTTGTATGTTGTTCGACGTGGGCGCGGTGAGCGCGGTGAGCGCGTGCTGATACAAAGTTCCACTAGATATACCTTGTCTCCGAAGACTACCTCCCGGGCATTTTCAATAACTGCCGTTCTGACATGGAGCAACTCATGGCTCTATGGGCGATCTGATGGTTGTGGGGTCACAGTTGACCGAATAAGATGCTTTCATACGGCAGATGACTGCTGTATTAAGTAAATCCATTTTCAACTACCTATATCCGCACTTGGAAGACGTGTAGGAATTTTGTTCCTATATCTATTGTAGAGACGTCTCTGCAATACACATGCGCGATCAATCATAAATCATCGCTTACAATCTCAATGCCCGAATATTGCAAATTCCGTGCACTTGAAGCACATGCATCAATGCAGTGAGGCCTCATCTTGAACGATTCAAAGAAGAAGCCCGGAAAACAAACAGTCTCAGACCATGTGTCATTTTGCGCAGGTCCGCGGGCGCTAATCGTTATGCCTTTTCACGAGACAAGGCCAACAGTTAGCAGACCTTACGAAGAGGGCTGGTGTTCTTGTGCTGTATTTCCGTGGCATGGAGATCCTCGGTCAAGACTGTTGCCTGCATCAGAGATTTTCCTGTGATACTACCATGTCATGCTTGCGACAGAACTGACTCCTTTCAAAGAAAGCCAACGTGGAGCATGCTTAGTACACAATTTACCCTTACAAAATGACTGCGTGTGACTTGCTCTTATCTTTTGCTTCAACGGTCAATTGCAACAGAATGTAGAGCACAGACAACGACGTGGCGAGTACATCAAACCACCTGAGACATCCCATCTGCGTCAACTCCAGCAAGGTCTGAAAAAGTTTAACTACAAAACAGCAACATGGTAGGTGTGCTCTCAACCCAGGCACTCACAGTCAACCAACTTGTACTGCATTTGTAATGAACTTTCTCCAAAAGATTCGACGTTACGTTGGGATTGCCCCTAGATGTGCAAGGGGAAGTGAGACACCTTCGCAACGCTCAGTTCGCTTCCAGTCCAGACAAATTCCATTACTGCTGCTCCATGCTGCGCAGCTCGTTTTGGCGATTATTCTCATGGGGCTCGGTGCCTATAATATACATTTCGTTGCATATCAAGTCTTGGCTGTGTGCTTGGTCATCGTAAGTTTGAGTGTGGATATCATGGTCCAGTATTGAATTACGCTGCAGGATATTTGCACAATTTTGATTGCCACATACCTGATCATATGTCGAATCAGATGCTCCAAGCTCTGTCGCCACTATTCGAGTCTTTTACTCCAAGTTTGCATGCTTGTTGCTTCTGTAATCGCTCTCGGACTCCTTGCTAGTCTGGCGCAGTACTGGAAGCAACCAGAATGTACTTATCGTTTCAAATCGGGCTACCAATGTTCTCCGTATGGAAAACGAGATTTACGGATACAATGGAAGAGAGATACTACTTCTTATGTCACCTACTCTGGAGCACTGATAACAGGTTCAGTCCTATCTGCCTCTGAGGCGTAAGTATTTTCACTTTCGAGCCGAATACAAATCTGATACCTGGCAGTATACTCTGGTTAATCAGTACAAGTATTGCATTCTTCGACAAGTGGGCAGACCTCAGACCTACATCTCAAACGAACAAAAGCCCTCCTCCACAAGTCCAACACACCGAACAAGCCATGCCCTTAGCCACACCAGCATCACAGCGCTGCCCCCTCGCCGAAGTATGGGATTCCTCGACTCAGCTCCCAACTGCGCATCGATCACGGCCAGAGCCAATACTTCCCGACGAGGACGACGACTATGCCGACAGAGAACCGGAACCACTTACTCCAGCACAAATGCGGTTCGGCGTGACCAACCAGGAGCATCGGCCGTTGAGCACTCCGGGGTTTGAAGTCCCATCATACATAAACACGCCTAATACTGAACATGTTGTACATGAGATAGAAGCAAATGCTTATGCAGCTACGGCGCCTCCTGTGCTGCCGCGAATTAACATCACTTCTACTCCACAACGGTACGAAGCCTATAACCCGAATGTCGATATGCAACGTAGGCCGGTCGCCAGCCGATTAGATTGATGAACATGTGCCAGGTTTCGTCTGAAATACGTTTTGGCTCTGGGGTACGGATTGATTGAGGCGACTATGGGAGCGAGCGTACTTTTATCATTAGGAGAGCTTTACTACATGTGTGTTGTCCACTGCATTGCACATGACATTTCCTCTTGCTGTCTCCGCAACTTTGCATCTCGTATCTCCACAGTGACTAATCTAAAATCTATAATATAAAAGAAAACTGTACCACAACATGCATATTACATCCCCGTCTCTCGACCTGTCTCTACTTGTCCCAGTTGTGCCACGCAATCGGCGAAATGTCCTGCCCACCATACGCAGTCCCATTAAATTCCAAGTACCCTGCAGCCCCCGAATATGGGATCTTCGCAATATCCTCGTAATCTCCCATAACCATGACTGCATTCATACCCATGATCATATGCTGTAGGACGTGGCAATGCAACATCCAGAACCCAGCATCCTGCACCCTCAGGCGCCAACATCGCCATCCGTTCCTCTCGCCCGCGACACCTTTGGCGCCGTATCGGTATAGATTCGTGGTGTCGCGCTTGACAGGGTTGTAGTTCTTCAATTTCTCCTCGTTGGCAACGGGGTCGTAGATCCCAAATCCACCTCCACATTCGTAGAAAGCGCTCCCATGGAGATGGAAGGGGTGGTAATCAAAGCCTCCATTTGAATTCACCAAACTTCCAGTATTCTCAAGGATAATCTCCAGGACTTCGCCGAGCTTCGCGGGCCATGTCAGCGTTACGGGGTCCCAGCCCTCATTTTCTATGGCGGCGGTGAAGTTTGGCATTGTGGATGGACCGTTTTTGTACAGGTCGACGAGATAAGGGGGGCTGTTTGCGGCGACGTGGTCAGTCCAGTTTAGTCCGTCGAGTTGCCAGACAATGGTAGAGTCGAGAATCTGGCGGTTGGTGATATGGATGCGACGTGTGACTTCGGAAGCGACGGGGAAATCGTTGGGGACCAGTGGCTCCAGAGCATACTCGAGGAAGTTGTAGGTTTCGTTTGTGAGGACGATAGGGTTCATCGGGGGTGCTGTTGTGATGACTGGTTCGGCATGGGAGTAGCGCAGGACACCGAAGCCTGTGTAGACTGTCGGTCGGTCTTTGGTCTCGAATTGGATGTAGTAGTCTGTTTTGTTTCCAAGCTCTTCTATGGTTTTCGTTCGGAAGAGGGCGTCGAAACGTTGACCGGATGATAAAAGCATATAATCGACTGAGTGCGGCTTCGTGTAGTGGCCATCTGCCTCAATGACATCAAATCGATCGTGTCCCTCAATTCCAAAGGCGACCATGGACAAAGCCGTTGAACCTATAAATCGAAAACGGTACGTCTTTCCAGGCTCCACGTCAATAACAGGCAGCTTACAGTTGCCATTGCCAGCTTTTTCACCGATTGCGACTCCAATGCCATTGATGAGCACAGCATTGGTCTCACCAGACCAAACAAAAGGAGTGGCCATGAGTCCCTTTTCAATCGTCTCATCGGACTTGTTGAAATAGTCCTGAAGGAACACAATCCGCTCTTCATCATAGGAGTAAGGTGGCAGCCCGAAGTCTTCAACAATAAGGGGACCAGCAGCAGACACGGCTTGAAATCCAACGTGAGAATGGTAAAAATACGTTCCTGAATTCTCTTGCTCGGGGTGGACTTCATAATCAAAGCATCGATGCGGCGCAATTGGCCACTGCGAAACGGGCGAGCCGTCACTGAATGGTGCTGTACGCTGGCTCAAGCCGTGCCAATGCTGGTATTGATTAGCTACTCGCGTTCACATCTTTTCGTGCCTTGTTGACGTACTATTGTCGTGTTGTATGCATCCATATCGTTGCATACCCTGACCCACGTTGTCCTCCCGGGCGGCAACCTGAGCGTTGGTGCTGGTGAAGTGCCATTCACCAACACTGACATATGAGTCTGACATGCCACTGTATGGTTCACATAGGTGACCCGTAGCAGATAGTCCGGCACGAAATCCTCTCCATGGCTGTGCAATTGCGACCCGCCTCCTGACGTTGGATACCCATTGCCATAACCTTGACCCGCAATCCCTCTCGCAGCCGCCAGCAGCGCGGCGACCGTGTGTTTAAAGTACATCTGGAAAATGAGTGTGTTTGAGCAAGTATTTCCAATTGAAGTTAAAGAGCGGATGCATTTCAAAAGTCCCGAAAGCCAAACAGTGGTTATAACATCCCTGGATAATGGTGCCGATGCCAAGTATCATGAGATGATCAATGCTTCTGCGGTTAATCACCCTAGAATCCCGCTGCCAGATCGGTGGCTCATCTCGGCGGTCAGAATAAAGCGTCGGCGGTGCTTGCACACATAGTTCCGGAGTTAGTCTGATATGTTTGCATATATATAGTATCCTGGTCTCAATCGAGGGGCAAATCCCAATGGTCTACTGTGGTAAAGGCTGGGACATCCCTGGTACAACGGCCACATCTCATAATTTGTGTACAGGCTAAGTTAGGCTTATCAGCTCAGTCCTCATGCTAGGAAATAAGACGAAAAGAGATGCAGACCATGGTAGCGCAACAAAGGCAACAGACCGCATTCAGCTCCAACTCTAGAGAGAGGGCGAGAACAAAGACCGCGGCCCGACCTCCAAAACCCTAGCGCTATGGAAGATCGACATAAACGGCTCGGGATCATCTAAGGGGATGTGCTCGTCGTCCTGTGCATGCAAGGAACAAGCCTTGAAACAACGTTGTGCTTCTTAAGATTTACTTATCAGTGCTAGCGCACTTGTTGTGCCCCTTTCTACTACAGTTTATTTTATTCGCATCTCAAGCTGGGGGTTGTGAATGTCTTGCAATTCACCTAGTGCTGCTGCAAAACTCGAATCATCGTCAAGTCCAGCAGCCATATAGACGCTCAATGCTCTGTCAACATTCGATGCGCAATTAATATCTATGATCATGTCATCATGAGTGATGAGTATCCGGTCCGAATGTTCATCCCTGAGTCAACCACCATACCCTAGTGTTCGGTCCATCGCATCAATTGGAGCGCACAAAGGTAGTAGAAGCACCGACATCTACGGTAGCATGTACGATCATAACGTCCCGATCCTTCCTGGAAGCCCAATCGCCGCTGATCAGAACCCGAGACCTGTTGCTTCTGCCACTGCTTGATTCTATGTACTCTAGCGTTTACTATGGTACTACATACGGCAGTATATCTGCTGCTCGTTGCCCATGGCTTCACTCATTGCTTTTGCCTTGATCGGCAGATCACAGCATTTTGCGTAAAAAACACTGCGAACGCGTACCAAATCCAACACTGCACACAGCCCGATTTGTGCTACTGCTTGAGACGCCGGTAGACATGCTGTGCGTAGAGAAATAGGATGGAACGAGCAGTTGTATGTGAAAGGTTGTACACGTGAGCATGGTCTGATGTTTTGGAAACGTCCACTGCCGGGGGTGTGGTAGCCGTTGCGACATAGCATTGATCAAACCTGAAAAGAGGGAAGGTCAAGCATTGGCGCAACAAAAATTAATATCAGTGACGTGCGAATACTCTCCGCTGTTCTTTTGAGGATACAACTACACAGTACCGTACACTCCAACCATCTCCCCACCCCATTCGCCAATCCCACCCCTGGCCCGTGCACCTTGGCGCATTTTCCCATTCATCATTCACAACCACAACCATAACCACAAACCCCAACCCCACAACCACCCACGGCACCCAGCGCCCAAAAAACCACCTCCAAAATGCTTCCCCGCGCCCTCCTCCTTCCGCTCCGCCGCACGGTGTTCGCCCGCCCCTCCCTCCGCCCCCATATGCGCCACATGCACACCCCAACCTGCAGCTGCCTGCGCCCGACGCTTTCCCTCCTCAACCGGCCATACCCACAGCGCACCAGCATTTACGATCTCAGCGCGCGGTTCCAGAGCCTCGGCGTAGCGGCGTTGCCGGTGCGCCAGCAGCTGCGCGGTATGAAGGTGCGGAGTTCGGTGAAGAAGCTGTGCGATGGGTGTAAGAGTGTGAGGAGGAAGAAGGGCCGCTATGTGTATATCATTTGTAGTAAGAATCCGAAGCATAAGCAGAGGTGAGTTTGGTTCTTTTCTTTGGGGGGATTTGTTTGGGTGGCTTGGGAAGAGAGAGTGGCTAATGGGGTGTAGGCAAGGATGAGAGAATGTTGTTGTGGGGGAATGAAGGGGGGAGGGGGGAGGGACCTAAGGAAGGGGCTATGACGATGATGATGATGATGGGGGGAAGAGAGGTGTATGATGCATGATGGGCGACATGGGGAAGAACACTGTACCATGTACGGATATATGTATCGGGCACAGCAGGCGTTTTGGGGCGACTTGTCAAGGTCTCCAGCAGGAATTGAACACTCATCTACACCACTGCCTCGTGTCATCATAATCATTTTGCGTTACAGCTACCCTATAAGCCAAGGCCATTTCCACCTCCCTAAACATCCTCACCCCATACTCCCTCCACTCCTATCCCCCGAGATAATCCCCGCCATCTTCAACAACTCCCGATCCAACTCCTGATCACCCGTCCCCAGATTAATCCTCCTCCGCGCCTCGGCCTCCCTCTCCTGCCACGCCCACTCCTTCCTCTGCGCCTCAGCCACCTCGTCCCCTCCACACCCCCACACCTCCAAACTCTCAATCTCAAATCTATCCTGCCAATCCCGCCTCTTCCTCACGGGCAGAGCACTGGGGTGGAAACTGCCCCCTCCATCCGAAACGTGCGTGAATATACCAAACTCCAGCGCGTCGTCTAGATGCAGTGATACAGGACCGGGGCGGAACAGGGTCTGTGAGTGGGACGAGTGCGTGTGTGCAGAGGACTGTGTAGGTATGGGTGTCCCGAGCCCGATACCTGGAGGTTGGGTTGGGGATTTATTAAAGTAGACGTAGTCTGTGCTGAACTTGCTTGCTTTGAAGACGTCGTGTGTTGGTGACAATTGGAACAAGACGGTTGACTCATCACCGAAGCAGGTTTTGCCCGTGTGTTTCCATTGTGTGGGGATGTAGGCGCCGTAAATGAGTGTTTGGTTCTCCTGTGATTCAGGCACGCTGTTGGGGAGACGTTTTGGAGGGAGCATGTCCTGGAGAGCGCGTTCGCGGGTGTTGGAAGGAGTGGCGGGAAGAACACGACCTTTGACGAGAAGGATGGTAGGGGCGCGCCAGTTGAAAACTTGTTTTTCAAAGGAGCCCATACTGAAGCCGTGGTTGTTGCCGCTGTACAAGGGGCGCAAGCGGCGGAAGAGAGTGTTGCCTTTGAGGAAAAAGGACAGTTGGCTGAGAAGAGTAAGATTGAGGATTTCCCCAGGTTGAGGGAGGAGAGGTTCTGGATCCATTACGGTTTTGGGAGGCGGTATTACGGGATGGGTGTCTTGAGAGGGTGATGAGGGATCGTTCTTGCGTTTAGATAGGTCGAAGTCCTTTGCAAAGAGGAAGTGTTCGAACAGTGGATTGAGGCCGTTGAAAAGGTACGGCAAGGCAGCTGAAATGACAGTGTTGAAGGTGCGATACGTGACGCCTGGGTGATTCTCAACACCAAAGGCCGAGACAATAACATGTGCCACCCTCCTTAACTCTTCTACACGTTCATCTGACAGCTCTGGCGCGAGACTTGACAGACTCTGCTGCGCATCAATCGGCGCAATTAGCAGCAAAAGCTCCACTAACTTTAAAAAGTTGTCCGTCGGTATAATCGAATGATGCACATTCGCCTGCTCTCCTTGCTTGAATACCTCAACTGCATCCATGGAATCCAGCGCTGCAAGCACCAACTCATCGTCTTCGTCTTCATCTCCCTCGCCGTCCTCGGGCGCATCAATCGCAAAGCCCATACCACTGCTCTCTCCTTCAGTTGCTACAGGCTGCGCCTCCCTCTCATGCTCTTCCTCGATACTTGCACTGACCCCTCTGTCGTAAACCGCCAATCCCCTATACAACTCCCTTAACCACAGTTCCCTTCCCCTTCTCTTGATCACACTTCCATATCTCTCCGTTAGAATCGTCACCACCTTGAGCAACGCCTCTTGTGTCAATATAGCGGGCGCCTGGCTCGGCAGCGGAAATGCCCCAAGGTAACTACACATTTGGAAGAGGACGGAACCCACACCCAGCGCGTCGGGCAACTCGAGGAATCGACATAGTGTGGGTTCGCTCCAGTAGCGCACGCCAGATGAGGTGTCGGCAAGGGAGCGGAAGACAGTACTGAAGCAGTAAAGTTCGAGAGGCGTATATGATTTGGAGGCAAAACGTTGGGCAAGGGTGTGCGATAGTTGTTCTGATGGAGTATCAGTGGTGTGAGCGTTCCAGACGTAGGTAACGTTAGGCAACGTTATGTTGCTGCATTTCAGTGGTACGCTACATATAGGAGGGACATACCAGGAGTCAGATGCGGAGCATCGTGTGAAGAACCTTGGCCCATGTTGGCCAGAGTTTGATAGTCGCGGAAGCGCGATGTAATTAATACTGTTTAGAGATTGACGCATCGCCTAGGCGGTGGTGGTAGGCGGGATGAGGATGACGTGCAGGTGGCTTATCACCGTTATGTCCGGGTACCTCACCTGCCCCTATGCAAGGTCTTGTCTCGTTTCCTCTCTCGACCACAACCAAAAAAAAACGATGTGGATATGAAGCACAAGACAAGGCAAAAATAACAACATACAACAGCGGGGGTTCGCTAGTGACTACGATCAAGGTCAGACAAGATAACAAAAGCAAGTGAAGCTTGGTTCAAGGTTCACTAATCTCACTTCCCCAGTCAAAGAAGTACAACTGTAATACCCTGATACTCATCCCTGAGCGACTGTGGTGAGGAGACAACGCCAAACTAGATGTTCCCATCGTGTTTACGCACACTGATTTACACCCAAGTAATATTATTCTATCCTCTAATCCTAACCCTTAGGTCCTTGTAAATTGTAATTGTTAATTAGCATTAATCTAGATAGTATCTAGATTACTAGGAGTACTGCAAAGCTTAGTAGACCTTGTGGATTAGCAAAGAATAAGAATTAATATATCTACCTCTAATACTAGACCGTCGAGAATTCTATAGCTACTAGGACCATCTCGTTTTAGCTTGTGGGGTCTGAGAGGCCTCCTAGGATTTTGGTAGTCTAGGAGACAAAGTTAATAACAAAGGATACTTAGAGTTAAAGTAATACTAGTAAGACTATATACGAAAAAATAGAATAGTAAACTATGTAAATTAGTACAAGACCTCTTAGTTATCACGACACAGCTGCATCGCATCTAGCCCCAATTCTTTTCAGCCCCCCTCAGTTTTTGGGAGCATTGTCTTGGATTCTCTTATAATTATAGACTTAATTAGAGTTATCTTATCAAGCTTAAGCATCTAAAGATAGTAACATACATAGCAGAAGCTTATTTCATCATAGTAGGTGCCCAAGAACAGAGTAATAGTTTTAGTCATCTAGGATTTACCAAGTACCCTAAGTACCGGTACAGGACCTTAACATCTACGCAAGTTAGACTAGTGTCCTAGTTTTTTGTGTCCTATAGACTCCACTCGTATATGATCATACCATCAAAAACCCCAATTTCAAAAAGCGCAAATCTAGCGCCAGCCACAATCGCTCGGGCATAAAGGGCTATTGCACGACTCTGTTATGCCTTACTACGATCTGGTTGCTTTGGCTTTATAGCATCACATCATGATTCAAGGAACTAATAAGAAATAGAAGGCATATTCGTGCTTGCATCCATCTGTACTAGAATCAGAACTTTGATGCTGCAAAACCGCATTCTCCCAGTGAAACCAAGAGAGCAAGTAACTGCTACTGAATCACCTAGTATCTGCATCTCACGTCTTCTTCAAGCTACTATATTGCAAATGTCATGACACGAAAGCTTTATTTCAGGGTCCGCTTTTAAGCCGTCATATAACACGCCTTCCTTCATAGATGACGCTAAAAGTCAATCACAACATAACCAACCCGATACCGCCCATATGATTGGCACTCGATTGGTTTCTGGTATCAATACCACCTGGTATCGGTGCGGCGCGGTAGTTGTACAGGTAGTAATGTAATGAACCATCACCAGCGCCAAACTTTTGCTCCTCGAGGAAGAGGGGGTTGTCAAGCAGCGTCAGCGCATTGAAGACGTCGAATTCAGCCTGGGTAAAGTTAGCGAGCTGCAAACAGACTATTGGAAATGCGAATGCTTACTTTCTTTGCCAGAATCAACGCATCCTTCATCAGCAAGTTGAGCCGTTGCTTCAGTTTCGCGTTGTCCTTCTCTTTGGAGAACGCCACCTCAGTACCATAGTAGAAAAGGTAAGCCGCCTTGATGGTGTTATGCTTCTTGTTTCCTATTACTGTGCTTTCCAAGTTGTAGAAGGAGAAGCAGTCTGTGATCTTGTGGGTGTCTGGATCCTCCACAACATAGCTCCATACGACTTGCTCTTTCGGTTGTTCCTTGGGACATATCCAGTGCTCGAATTCGGTTTTATCGAATACTTGTGCCATGTCCATACGCGCAAGGTAGCGCTTCAAGAGGTCGAGTGTTGCGTCTACATCTTTGGACTCCATTACGCGTAGACCAGGTGTAGACGTGACGTCTGGCAATCTGTATCGTGTAATTTGGCGCAATTTCGTGCTGCCGTGGGGCAGTGGAGAGAAGCCAACATCATACAGCTTTTCCCAGTCAATGGCGCGGTGGAAGTAACGAGCGGTGGATATAGGTGTAGGTAGAAGAGAGCCCACAGTGTACACAGCCTGGAAAGTGCCTTCAACGTAACAGCGACGAGTAATTTCTTTTATCAGAACAGGAGCTAAGCGCTTGGAGCGCAGCTTCTTGTGGACGCAAAGGAAGTTGACCTCGGAGCAATTGAGGACTTTTTCGCGGACGCGAAGTTGAATAGGGATACCAGAGATGAAGGCAACAAGCTTTCCAGATGCGGTTGCGCGGACACCAACGTGCCACTCTTTCTTCCATCCAGGCGCTTTTAGAGCCCTGCGGGTGTTAGTATGCATCTGATTCAAGAGCAGGTCTTCTAGCGTACCAATTCAGGAACGATGGCGAGTATTTGAAGCGGAAGGTGGCGTCCTTGTCTTCGACATAGTGGTTCGTCAGCAGTTCATATACTTCGTCCAGCTGCTTCTCGTCCTCCAGGTCCATTGTTACCCACTCAAAGCCTGGGTACATTGGACTGGGATTCTTGTCCACCTTTTCAATATCAATCTCTTTTATGGGCCCGTCCTTGATCTTGTCCTTGTTGGCCATCTCGTCGAAGCTAGGGACTGGCTGTGTCTTCCAGAACGCGTGCGTGGCCATGTCTTTTGCGTTCTTGGGCGGCGCCAGGCCGGTGAGCATCTCGTTCATGCTGAGGTTCTTGATCATCTGCTCGAGGTCGGCTTTGCTGGTTGCCTTGCTCTGCAGTTCATTCTTCAGCGCCGGATTCGATTCAAGCAGTATCTTCTTCTGGTCCTTGCTCAGGTCTCCTCCCACCGATGCATCTGCAGCTCCCTTTCCTTTGCCCGTCAGCGCATCCTTGACCTTGCGCTTCCTGCTCTTCTTCTTCTCGGTAGACCCTTCAGCTGTTTCTGTCGCATCGTCGCCGCTCTCGTCAGCCGACTCAGTCTGTGCTTGCTTGCTCGACTCAGCGATGGCTTCGGCTGCTACGTCGGCGTTCGCATCGGGATCGGCAATCTTGGAGGATTCTTGTGGCATCTTGGGCGGCCTGATGTTTGTTTGTTGTATGTGCCAAGTTTGCGACCGCAAAGTTGTGCGTTCAGGGTCAGGGCAGCTCGAGAAGACAGCTCTACATCATGGTGGGGCGCCTACATTGGAGGGGCAACAGTAGGTAGCGTACCGGTAGCCCACCTTCCGGCTCCACCTGCCGTCTTTTCCGTCATCACAAAACATTCTTCTTCCATCTGCCAATAAGTAGAAATTCCCATTCAATATAAGTACCATCATTCGGTCACGGCTGTAGTCGCAGGTGTTGTCGACTACCTCTGGTTCAGATATTCATCGTCCCGGATGGCTTCGATCATCTTCATCTCAACATCCCCACTGGTTCAGGGTGGACCATCACTTGCACATGACGACAATATCAAGGTTTGAGCAGTGTCATTGATTACGCCAGATAGCACTCTTTATTTACTACAAGTACACCCCCCAAAACAACAAGAACCACAGGAAATGCATGAACGGGTATCTTCCCACGCGCCGAAACTCCAATTGCCATATCACCTCTCCAGAATTCGGAGGCTGAGCAAGGAATGCCAACGTGGCACAAAATATACACGCATAAACACTTGTAAACATCGGCAACCGTTGACGGAAATCGAGAACGTCAATCGGAGACTTTTGGCAACTGCCAAAGACAAAAATTTCAGAACAAAGACAAGTATCTCGCTGAAGGGCAACCTTACAGCGTCATGTGTATACCCCATCAGACAGATGAGAGCATCTAATCTCCATGGGTAGGCGACGGTGGTGTGGGCCGTATAGTCAAAGGCCAAAAATGCAAGCGTTTGTCGAGCGGTCGGATATGTCGACCAACTCACCAGCGAATTGGCGATATGCTCATCGGCTCGCCAGGGAGAAGAGCATATGGCTGGGCCGGTGGCGTATTTGGCAACATCGACTTCGTCCGCGGAAGCTTCTTGGCAGCCGGTCTGCTGTTCCCAACAGGCCTACCCACAAGGCGGTTGATGTTTTGAATCGCCGTAACTGGTGCCTCGTATGAGGAGGATCTTAACGGCCTGTACATTCGGTCCCAATACGCCATGCTGCCGCCACTTGCCGCTGCGTCTTCAATCTGTTTACCGAAACGACGTTCGGGTTCCTTGAAGTGCACAACTCGCTTGTTCGCGATGTTGATGGGGTCATGGCCTTCGAAGATTGGGGGGATATGAGCACCGGGAAAGAGAGCGAGGAAGACACTGCCGCCGTTGGCGAAAGGATCCGTGTTGTTGGGGACGAAGACAGGGCGTCTTGGTTCGCCACGGCGTCTTGGGGCCATCAGGTCAATCTCTTTGACCAACTCTGGCACCCCCTTGTTGTGAACCCAGTGGACGTTGCTGGCATAGTGTAGTCCAGTTTCAGGGTCCTCCTCCGGAAGAAAATGAACCTGGTTGGCTCTGTACGGGTGCTCAGCCATAGGACCGTCCGGCTTGACACCATTGATGATATTGTGTCGCCAATTGCACTGGCTCATGCACTGGGTCTTCCAAAAGTTTTGGTCCGACAGAGATTCGACATGGGATCGTCGAAGCGATACCACTTTCTTTCCGAGCTCTTCGACTACACCCGCCGGGTTCTCAGCCTTGTACCGTTCGAAGTCGGCCTTGACGAGATCGAGCTCATGCTCGATTGCCCTATTGTCCCGGCGGAGCAGAAGTATCCCCTGGTAAGTACAGGTGAATGCGAATCGGAAGTCCTCTTCGGCCAGGTAGTATTCCCCGGTCTCCATGATGCCCGCCTTTTCTAGCCGGAGGGCGCACTGGTGGAAGGCTGCTGTGAAAGCGAATCGCACCCACGTACCAATCTGGCGTATCATTTCGAACACAACCTTATAAGACATGTTGTCGGCTGCGATGATCAAGTCGACTACATCTTCCATGCGTGATGGCAGGTCTTTGACCCGCTTCGAGAGATATAAGAGGGTGAACTCCATGATGGCGTTCAAGCCCAACAGAACCAAGTGGCGGACCCCGCTCAGCATGCGCCGAGAGGTTTGTTTGGCGAGGAGAAGTATTTCGTGGATGATATACCACGGTTGTATGTCCAGGGTGACGGTGGACAAGAGAAAGGGTGGCAGTGGGAGCGGCGTCGCAAACCAGGAGGAAAGGTAAGCGCGCGAGAAGAATCGTCGGAAGGATGAACGGGTGAGTGTATCTCTCGCGAAGAGGGATAGGAACAATAATAGTCCCCCTCCCTGCATCGCAAGTGCGGAGAAGATAAAGATAACGTGGAGGATGGAGAGCTTTGGCTCTGTGAGCCAAATGGCCAAGGATTGCACTCTGGTGAGCGTCGATGAAGCGATGTTGTAGACGGGGTGTGGGATGGAGCTCCATATGGGCTGAAGCTGTTGTGGGTGGGGATTTGTCTCCACGTATGGAGTTTCGTCGTTGATGTATGTGAGGGAAGAGGGGGTGACTGTAGAGTAGAAGTTAGCTTCAGGATCCTCAAGTGAAAGTGTGATGCAAGCTCTCCATCAGTAAACAAAACGCATCAGGAACCCGACTTACCATGATCGACGGTGGTAGTGACGGTGACAGTAGGGAGAGGGACGGAGACTTGCTCGACGTGGTCAGTCACATTGTTGATGACGATGTGCTGAACCGGGGCCTCGATCGTCCGCCTGAACAAAGCCATGGCAGGACATGAAGTCCCAAACCAGCCGGTGTAAAGAACCGTCATCAGGCCCATCAGGACCGGGATAGCTCCAAAGAACTGCATACTGACGACAAACAAAGAGATCTGTCGCGTTGCAAGTGTAGCTGGAAAAAATGTGGAAAAGATGCAGTGTTGGAAAGGCACGGCAGATATATTCTTATTCTTAAAATTCCTTTAGATTACTATTACTTTATACTATTATTGTCTTTTAATATTAAACTTTTATACTTTATATCGTAAAAATCATCTTATATTTCTTTATTAAGTAGATACTACTCTAAGCTTAAATAATTGTATCTCTTATAGCTTTAGATTATATGTATCTTTATATTAGTACTTTTTTATATAATTTAATAGGTAGATAACTAAAATACATTTAAAATAATAGTTATATATTAAACTCTTTTATAGAATATAGAATATTAGTATATACGTGTGGTTGTGAGAAGGAACAAAGACGACGAAGGAACAAAGACGACGTGAGCTGCGCAGCAGAGATTTTATCTACGTCTGGCTGATTAGTTCATCATAACAACCTTCCTTCCCGTTTAGCGACGAGCGTTTGCTCGCTGTTGATGACGTGTTGTTGGATGGTAAAGCGGTGTCGGGCGGGGTGGGCAGGGAGCGTTTGCAAATGGATGTGACTATACGGGGGCTGGACGTCAGACGTGACTACGATATTCGAGAACCTTGTATTGACGGCATGAATATGGCGGCAGGAACTTCAAAATGTATCTGATAATAACGCAGCGATGCCGAATATCTTGTAAACCGCAAAGACCGTCGTGACGAAGCCAGAGGCGCCAGTGATTGTCCCCGTCACCGTGGTCAAGCCTTGAGATTCAAAATATATAGCCAATGTATAAGCAGCGAGATGGATGTCCAGTAGATATAATACATTTGTACTACGGACGTGTCAGTCAACACGATATACTATCGATTCCTCCAACTCATCAAACCAAGTTCAAACCACCACCAGACTCCAACCTACATGGGTATTGTTCGCCGTTCAAAACATTAGATCCAGTCCTTCGGTCGTTAAGATCGCCCACAGGACGAGTACGGAGGCATTCAAAAAGTTCAAGATCAAGAAAAGGGATGAAATACGGGGGCTGTGCTCTCGGTGACGGCCAGGTCTAATGTACATGCTTTTTTGCAAACAAAGCGTTGATCCAAACAACGGTCACCCGAACGGACTAGAATGGGTATCGAAATACAAACAAAAGGAGAGAAGAAAAAGTACGTATAGGGGGGCTCGGAGCGAGGTGGGGTACTTATGAGTTCCTCACTGATGTTGCCTGCGGAGGTGCGCGAATAGTAGTTCCATTTTGAAATTGAATGGTGAAGTCCACGAGGTCCATTTCGAATGGTCCGACTTCAACGCTGGTTCCCACAGCGTTGCCACTGCGATTTTCCGTGAGAAAGTTCTGTATGGCTTCCTGTGCGCTGGCAGCAACGTCCAGGTCGCCGCTCTCCTGGAGCGCGAGTAATACACCAATGCGAGCAAAGTCAAGGGCTGTGACGTTGCTTGACACGGGCTGTGTCTGTATTCCATTTCCCGGCGTGTTCTTTTGACCGCTCGAGCTCTGGCCTTCACCAGCCTGGCCAACGGTCTGACGCTTGGCGGGTTGAGCAAGCGCTTGGGGTGGGTGTGGATGGTTCAGGACTGGAAGAGAACGCGTTGGATGAAGTATAATTTTCGAGTTCAAAGAGTGCAGTTGATGGTCAGCGGAGCGAGATGCTAGCCCATTAAATGTAATAAGGGCATTCTCTGCCGCACAGCTCAAAGATAAGCTGGAGAAAAGCGACAAGATGCGAGTTGCATCCAGGGGGATGTTGAAGTCCTTGTTCGCAGTCTCCACGAGACGAGGAATCCCGGTGCCAACCGTCGCGTTGTTGGCTGTGTCTGCTATACTGGTAGCTGTGCATCCCGTCGCATCATTGTTCGTACATGTGCGTCCTGTGAAGCCATTGATGCATATGCAGTTGCACGACAGGTCAGAATTGAGAATCGCGATGCCTTCATTTTGGCAGGTGATGACACCGTCACATTGGTTGCTGTTGGGACTGGACGTAGGAGCTGGGAGTACCATGGATTCCATGGTACTGGTACCACCAGGGTTGTTGGGAGGGTTGTTGTTATTGTTGTTGTTGTTGCCGCCACCCGTGTTCCCTTGGCCATCTTGCGCAGGTCCGTTGTTGTTGTTGCTGTTGTTTTTCTGGTTGGGGATGACCACGAGCACAACCGGGATGACAGCGGCGGCTGCGATGACGACGATCAAGACTATGAGAATAGTCACAAATGTCCAAAATGGCATACCACAACATCTTCGACGCTTCTTTGACCCCCCGTTATTTTCATTGGCATTCGCTCCACCTGTTCGTGACCCGGCAGATGGCCATGCGGATATGGATCTGTTCCCGACATTGGGTGTACCCGATCGCACAGGCGTATCCTGGCCTGGAGGAGGAAAGGCAGCAAGCATGTCAGAAAGTCCAGATTGGCGTATATCTCTTTTCTCTGGATCGCCAGACTCCCAAAAGTCGAAGCCCAAACGACTCGCAGTCTTGCCGCGATCAAGATTGGCCGCCAACCTTGTAGCTCTCCGTATCAGATCCGGCAAGCTGGTCAGACTGCCACGCGCCTCAGCGTCTCGAACAGCGTCTATGTCGAGTTTCGGTGGTCGTCTCATGCCAGCACGTTCGGCCAAGCCACTGGGTCGCATTTCCTGCGCAAGAGGGTGTGGCGAGGTCGGAGAGCCAGCATGGTTCGCACTCTTACCCTTCATATTTCCGGTTGCGCTCACGGAATCTGAGGAAGAGGTGGACGAACTGCCCTGGCTCCCCGCATGGCTAAGTCGTGATCCTTCGACCCTCGATGAACTTCCATCCCTTGCTGCGAGTATTGCCCCACCAGCTCCCACCGTGCCCGCAGCAGCGTCTAACCCGGCTGCTTTCTTCTTTCCTCCACTTCCAAAGCTGTCTATTGATTTGATGGTCATCAGGGACGGTTTGGTTCTCCTTCCTAGACTGGCTTGTCGCACAAGTGCAGGCGATTGTTTCACGAGACCGCTTTGGTCGTCGTGCTCGGGCGATGCAGTGCCGCGATCGCTTGTGATGGTTTCGTCGTCCGAGAGAAGATCGTCGTCGGGATAGAAGTCCTCATTATTCAAGGGGAATACATTGCTTGATGCAAATGAGCCATGACGCGATCTACTTGCAGCAGACCGCGACTCTGACTCTTCAACAATAGGCGACACGTATGACATCTGAGTGTAGTACGAGGACGGACCCCTTCGCGCTGAAGGTGGTGGACCCAAGCTAGGCACTCTTCGAGCTTGCTGACTGGACGGAATCTCTGGAATAGGAAAATCAGGTATGTCTCCTAGAGATGACACTTCTGAAGCAACCGAGGAAGTTGTCAAGGGGCGCGAGGATCGATGTGAGGTAGGCGAGAATAAGTCTCCGTTGCCATTCGCTCCGCCATACCCAGGGTAGTTTGATGATGCTGGTGAAAGATAATCTGGCGAAAGCTGTTGTATTAGGTATTCATCAGATACAGGTCGACCATTCTGCTCCGGTGGCTGTAGATGCTCTGGTGATGGAGGCGGAATGATGGGACTGAATTGTGGCACATTCGTTGTGGTGTTGGGGAGTGGCCATTGGGGTTCAGGGGATTCTCGACCTGCAGAGTCGCGATAGTCTGAAGGTATGGAACGGGGTGCGGATGCATCGGTTTTGCGGGAAGAGTTCTGCAACACAAGTTGATTGGGTCGCTGAGGAAGTCCTATTATTCGTGAGGTATCAGGAAGCTGCGTCCGAATCTGTGCGGCTTGCATTCTCTCTCGCGCCGCACGCACCGAGCCTTTCCTGGATTCATTGGCATCGTTCGAACCTTGGGCTGGTCCGCCCGATCTGGGGTCGTAATTCATGAACTAAGTGAATGAATGGTGATAGGTGGCGTGTCTGGAGGCCGACACAGGCCTGTTGGAACAATAGAGTCGCGCGACACCGAAGAATAGAGAAAGGGTTAAGATAATTCAAGGACTCGTTGCCTTGGGCTGAAGGGCGGCAATGGTGTGCTTATTGTGGTGTAGCGATTGGGACACGTACTTGGTGCGAAGGCAACAACAAGTCAGTGCGGGAACAAAGGAGTGGCGTCGTTGGTTAGGTCCCGATATTGCACTCGTGGAAACTGGGTGCCTGACCCAAGTACAGCCTGACGAGTAAGAGAAAGAACAGGCCAGGAATTGGGAAGAAGAAACGGTGGGCGTCGATAGGCAGCGGAGGAAAACGGCTCCTTGCGTCAGAGATATCCCAAGGCTGTTGTCTCAGGGTGTCAGAACCAAGCAGGCTGGTACAGTTGATGGATACACCGTGTCAGGTGTTGTCGAGTCGTACTGTCGTGCATGTCAGCAGCTGTCCCTCGCGTGAATTGTCGAGACCACGTTGATAAGCAAGGACTGGATTGCCCAAACGGAAATCGCGGATGACGAATGATGGACTCTAGAGAGGCTCAGGAAGAAGACGAGCAAATGGAAGATGGTGGGAGTCAGACAAGGCAGATGGGCTTTCCGGGAAGAGGGGGAATATGAGAGATGTGACGTTGTCCGTAACAGATGTCTGAAGAGGCCTTTCAACCAAGAGTTTCAAAAGAGATCCTTGTACATACGCTATTGTTTATGTCCGGATTGGGGGGAAGAGGAATATCACTACGTTGGAGGAAGTTGATGTACAAGAAGAAGATACGGCTAAGGAGTTGGCGTATGGGCAGTGTGTGTATGTACCGAGGGTTCGTGGGAAATGAAATGTATAAATGAATGTATAATAGTTAGAACAATCCAGTTGGTGGCATGGACAGAGAGCCCCGAACTTGGGGAGAAGAGTCGAACCGCAAGAGTGGATGATGATGTTGTTGTTGTTGTTGTTGCAAAGGCGCGACTGGGTAGAGAAGAACAGGAGAGGCAGCAACGCGGCGTCTTGGAGAGAGCAGAGACTTTGATTTCGATTTGATTTCCCCGGCAGGGCTCATTGTGACACATGCGAGATGGCGTGGATGGCTGGAGCAGCAAGCCATGGGGGCACGGACAAAGAAGGGTCATTTGCAAGAAGCGAACGACGCCAGAAGACGCCTCCACAGTTACAACTGACTCAGAAGCCACCCGCCCGACAAGCATCATAGCCACCGTTGGATGGGCCCAACATCGTGCGACAGGCGGCGGGCAACGCACATGCTGCCGTCCTAAGCACGAGGAGGGGGGGGGACATGAGCCGAAGCCGCCACGGGATACGCACATCTGCACCGTGGTTCTTTTTTTTTATAAGTATACTGTTGAACCCATCATCATCATCATCATCGTCGTCGTCGTCGTCGTCGTCGCCGCTGATCAGTCATTTTCTGTACTCGACATATACTCAAGACGTCCTGGCGCGGTATACCTACGCTCTTCGTTGCTGTCCGCAACCTTGGGTGTGTGGCCATGTCCGGGGGTGTGCCCTCAAAGAAAGCTTTCGACGATAGCGTGTTTGAGAAGTGGCTTAGACGAGCTCTTGGGACTTGACGACGCCCCGGGTCAAAATAAGCGTAGTTCCGGCCAAGGCATCCTCTTCGAGACACCCAATTCTGTACCTGCATGCATGATGCCTCTCGCAACTCAGCTGAGGCAGCCCTCGAGTACCACCAAAAGGCCAGCCGTGGGCACTGTTGCAGCATATGTAGGCACAAGCCTGTTCGCATCCTGCTTCAACGCCCGATTTCCAACAAGCACTGGAACGCCATTCCTTCAGTCAATACTCATGACTTTGAGCGTCGTGTCCGGGCTCCGCAGCGGGTCGATACTTGGAACGAAGGATCTTGAGGTTTGATTACCGGTAGGCTGCCTACTCGGAACCGCGCCCATGGGTTCCTGAGATGATTGCTCAGCGGGACCGTTGTGGAAAAAAAAACCGCCCGCCGCCTGTAATCAATGTGAGGCGTACCTATGCAGAGTGAATCGATCGGTCGCCGCCCATCTAGCAACCTGCTCTTCTCACCTTTATTCCTCCTTCTTGGGAACATCGTCATCGCCGTTGGGCACGCAAGATTTAAACTACCTACTGCAGTGCACGCCATAGTGCACTGTGCGTGACCGGCAAATGATACCAGACGGGGTGGGAACAGTTGCAACCTCACTAGGAGCGCCCAAATTACCACGCCTCGTGAGCCCGAAAATTGGCTTCGTCTCTGCGTTCCAGAAGCAGCCACGAGCGGCCGCTAGAACTTTGCTAAAGAGTGCTGGATGGCCTTGCCTCGTCGCCATCGACTGTTGTCGCAGCTTCCAGAGACCTACTACCGGTACTACCTGCTCGTGTGCGGTATTTACCTGGGTTGTTGCTGGAATCTCCCGAATCCAATTTCAAAGGCCAGATATTGCGCAAATTGCCTGTCTATTTATACAGCATTATGCTGGTGAGATACGAATGATTACACGAGAATCTCTGAACGGGTCGCTTGCTAGGCTTCTTCCACAATATCCTGCGATACTATAGTAGACCAGGGAAGCCGTTGCTCGTCTTTACTAGGAGGGTAATAGGTAGACTCTGTAGAATGCAGGGGCGGATCATGGCAGCCTGCATAGGTGCGCGTCCATCACAGCTCCTGCTGCGTTGATGCTTGTTGGCCAGATGGGTAGTATACCATGCATCCCACGACCATGACAATGACTTGCGAGCTTCTTTACCAGCATTCAACTCTGCAGCACTACACGGAACGAGATCGATGAGCGTCCAACAGCAACATCGAGCCAGCCCAATCTCGGATCGAAGCAGCGATTCAACGTCTACATGGCCCCCTTGCAGCAAGTTGGTTGATTCTTGGTCCGCGTAATATGTTTGACAGCCTGCTCAATCTCGACCTAGGCTATTTCTACAGTCCCTAGTACGGCCGCAGATGTTGTCCTTCAAGGGCATTGTCAGCGTTACGAGAGCAAAGGTATGGACATTTTGATCGACCACAACACCATTGGGCGAGCGAGTCTGATAGGTACCGGTACCGGTAGTAGGAACATGGGCAGACCATGCAATAGCCCATCCAGACCCGCCCAAACCTCCACCAACTCTAATCTCCATGTCCAACGAGGCTGAACACAGCCAAACCTTGGACACGATATACGATGGGCCATCCCCGGACGGCGGTGTCGCTCTCCCTCCATCTGAAACAATCTTGGGGAATTCTGGACACCCTCGCCGAAATTTGGCCTCTGGTACACAAACACCATCCCGACGTGCCAATGTCCGCACTCGGCGATCTCACCATGGCCCACTGCTTTCACAGTCGCCAGCCCGCGCAGGACACACTTCGCGCATGCACCAGATTTTTGAGAATGCGGCGCGTGGGTGTACGACTACGTGTGCGGACGTGGGAGGCGTCGCCGTCTTGTACCCGCAATTGCCTAATATCTCGCGAAAAGCGTCTCCAGGGAAGCACGAGCGTACACAGCATGCGCCCAGTAGTTTCAAGGACGAATCTGGTCTGCGAGCAGACTCGCCGTGTCGCTCCACCGGTTCGAGTCTCAACGGTCCACAGGCAGATCTACGAGTGCTACAGTGCGTACCTGTATCCGAGCGTACTTCGGGATCCTGGTCCGACGATTCAGGCTACATTATTGCAGACGCTTGTCGGAAAACAGGTATCGCTGTGTCTCCTAGCCGACGTGTTCGGGACTGGCTGTCCAGTGTCTATGAAGCAGTCGATCTGACCGACACGATAGAAGGCACAAAAGGTAGGCATATACGCCACATTGCTACCGCGCAGCCTAAGGTAGGTTCTAGTATCAAAGACCGCGTACCAGTCGGCAAACCCGCGTCACCATCATTGTCTGCGGCACTGAACTACTCACGAACGGAACCAACAGCTTCCTTTCTACTCGCAGCTACAGCAGATGATGCCTTCATCAGTGACCACCAAATCCACATAAACCCCACACCACAGTCATACAAACCATCCCATACCACTCTCCGCAACACCCCCATCCCCCACAGACTCAAAGAATACATACCCGAAATCTGCGAACGACTTGACTTCGACACCGCCACTACAAGAGCAAAGACTCATCCACCAACCACACAAACACCATGCACAACACCAACCCACGTGAACCAAAACCACACCATACACATCATCTCAACATACCCACCTACCCAAGACGCCGACATCGTCCAACTCAGCCCCCTCAGTCCCAACGTATGCCTCGAGCGCGGTCCCGCGCGGCATCATACCAGCCCCGGATCTCCCACTCTCAATCGGGCTTCTGCGTCTCGTGGGGCAACACGTCGCTTTTTCCCACGCTCGACACGGTTCAAGGAGGATGTTGGATCACCGTTAGCGCTGGGTGCAGCTTGTGATGCGGATATGGAGATTGCCCTCGCTGCTGTAAAGGCAGGCGTTGACTTGGGTGTTGGGGACGAAGATCACGGTTGGGGTGGGAACGGTGTGGTTTCTTGACGTGGGAAACCTGGGGCGAGATTGTAGGCGGGACGTCAAGTCATGGCAATGATGAAGCGTTTCTGTGGATGGGGGGGATGTTGAATGTTTGTCATGGCGTTGGATGTCATGTCTCTATTGCTTCGATGATATGGTGTAGTATTGGAGTTGGGAAGATGGAATGTTTATACTCGATCACAGTTTACACGAATCGTTACGTCGTATCACACCACACCACGCTTTTCAAAGCCTCTTATTTGTCCATCCATGTACAACAACCTTCACCGCACGCAAAAAACAGCACAGAAGCCTCATGCTCTCTGTACTGTCTCCATGTGCGCGGCCATGGGGGGCGTATTTCAGGGAAAGGGTTTTGTGGGATAGGTATGAAATGACATGTGCGTGTGTACATGCTGTGTGTGACGAGCTGGTTGATGTTGGGTTGGGTTAGTTTCGCTGCTGCTGGCTTGGAGTTTGTTTGATTACCTTTTGTTGCATCCCCTTAGGCTAGCTTTTATTGCATCACCTCTGATCCCATCACATCAAACACCACCGCGCCGCATCACATTGAATCATCTCTGATCCCATCACACCGACCCCCATCCCATTTCACCCACCCCACCACCGCAAACCGCAGCCACAATATCCAAACCACCCCTCGACCCCACCCCACCCCACCAACCAAACCAAACCACCCAGACAGACAGCAGAGGGGAAAGCAAGAAGACTCAAGACCATGCTTGCATATAGCCAGCAGACAGCCAAGTTGTCATACGTAGCGTAAGATGCTGGTTAGCTTATTCCATCTATCCCATATATTGGTTAGCTTATTTCATACATCCAATCCATCCAATCCAATCCAATCCACCTCGAAACCCCTATACACATTCCCACAACTCTCAAGCAGTACTTAACATAAAGCAAGAAAGAATACGAGTAAGAAGAACGATGATGAGGAATCGCGAGAAACTAGGGAGAAAAAAAAAAGGTCATGTGTCCATACCGGTATTTGGACACATGTCTCTCTCTCTCTAATAACCATCCCCCCAAAAAACGCCAAAGACAATGCAAATGCACATAAAAGGAAAAATACCATGGTAGCAATTACATCCCCCCCTCCATGCTTCAATATTTACATCCCCAACCCCCACTCCCCCCTCCTCACACCCCCCTCTTTCCCCCTTCCCCCGCATTCCACCTACCGCCTCTCCACCAACAACAAATGCATCGCCAAATACGCCAGCACCACAAACGCAGACCCAAACACAGCGAGACCAATACAATCCGTCCACAGCGCAGCCGTGTTGAACCCAAAAGAGCTCAGGATAGCCGAGCCGGGCACCTCGATATCCAGCCCGTACTTGTGGTCGATGAGGGAGAGGTATTTGACTTCGTTGACGATGAGGCCTTCAAAGGCGTAGTGGAAGATGGAGAGCTGTGTGTGGGATTGGGTTAGCATGGAGGTGTTGATGAGTTGATAGAGTAGGGAGGGGGCTTGTTGAAGAGTGCAAGCATGGGGCAAAGAATGAGGAAACTTACAGATTGCAGCCACTTTGCAATAGCGGGGATACTCTCCTTGTTCAGGAAGAAGCCCGAAAACAACAGACTAAACAGCATGACAAGGACACCAATGAGATTCGCGACCCCAGAGTTGCGAAACACGATGCCGATGAAGAGGAAGATGGCAGCGGCCGCGAGGTTGAAGAGGGTGAGGAAGAGCTCGAATTTCAAAAAGTTGGCCCAGGCGGGTATGAGGCCGGTCATGGGATACACGATGATGCCGAGGATGAGCGGAGGCAGGAGACGCAAGGGGATGATGTCGAAGAGGACCTTGGCGAGGAAATACGAGGGCGGGGAGTAGTAGCCCTTGGCGCGCTCGCGGGTGAAGAGGAGGCGTTCGGGAGCAAAGACGGTGAGGATGGTCAAGCTGCTGAAGCCGAAGAGCGAGAGGACGAACAAGAACAGGCCGAGACGGTTCTGGAAGCCCTTGATATCGTCGGTGAGACCGTAGAAGAGAAAGCCGAGGAAGACTGCCAACACGATGGCGATGGCATAGTGGGTGAGCATGAGCATCGGGTTGCGGTACAAGTTACGCCATGTCCGCCGAGACAGGATGCTGAACTGGCCGAAGAATCCAACCTTGCGGAAGCCCTTCAACTTGCCAGCCGCTACAAAACCGTTGAGGTCCGAGACTCCGTTTGTGCCGTTGGCTTGGTTTGCACTGGCGACCGCACTAGCAATGTCTTCGCGTAAGCTGGCAGCAATGTCCGAGGCGTTGTACGCGTTGATGAGAATGTCCAGATTGGTTCCAGTACTGCCATTGGCAGGCGGTGGGTACTCGTCAGGGTCTTCCAGAATCTGAGGCGGTACACCACCCTGTTGACGTGTGAGCTTCAGCCATTGAGCCTTGATGGCGCCTCGGCGATCATAGGGGACCTCGTCGTCAGTCTTGGGTGACATGGTGCCGTTCTGTAGAGAGGCAGTCTTCTTCCGAGTAAACAACTCGCGCTCTTGCTGCTGCTTGATCGAAGTCCTCCGCTTGCCCTTGGGTCGTATGCTAGAGTTGCTCGGACTACCTGGCACGTCTCTGTCGAATTCGGATGTGTTGATACTTGGGATGGACTTGACAGCAATGGCGCTGCTTGCACTGGTGTGGAGACCTTCTCTGTTGAACAGGGAGCTATCCTCGTCTATGGTGTGACGGGCTGCGCTTGCGTGCATAGTAAGATCGACAATGTAATCCGCAATATTGAAGCCAGGTGGGCAAGTGTAGCCAATGTCGTCGAAATAGGCTTGACAGTTTTCAAAGGGCCCCGAGTAGACGGCCCTACCTTTGGCGAGAAGAATCAGTTGATCAAAGAGAGCGACAATGTTGGACCGCGGCTGGTGGATCGTGAAGACTACGGTTCGGTTGTAATTTTTGACGAGGTTGACAAGACATTCCACAACATTGAAGGCGTTAAAGGCGTCCAGTCCACTCGTAGGCTCATCCAAGAAGAGAATGCTGGGTGATGTGACGAGCTCGCAGGCAATACCCACACGGCGCTTCTCACCACCAGAGATGCCACGCCCACTCTCTTCAGATCCAATCTTTTGATTACGAATGTGGTAGATGCCCAGTTGGCGTTCGACGTCTTCCACCTTCTGCTCCTTGGACATGCGGCTCATCTCCTTGGGCAGGCGAAGCAGGGCTGAATCTAGAATGGTCTCGTGAACGGTCAATGTCGGAAGGAGGGTATCCTCCTGGTCAACAAATCCAATAACACCACGGAACTCGTCGTCCCTGATCTTCTCTCCATTCAGGTAGAAGTCGCCACTGGTAGCACCAATCTTGTTCTTGCGCGCCAATATGTCCAGAAAAGTAGTCTTTCCAGCACCCGAAGCCCCCATGATGGCAAGGAGCTCTCCAGGGTGGACTGCACCCGAGATGCCAGTCAAAATCTGCTTTCCGTTTAGGTTGTACGCGACATTTTCGAAGAGGAGAGCGGCAGGCTTGTGATCGGCCAGCAATTTGGCATTCTCATCTTCCTCGTCGTCTGAGAGGTGGATGGCGCCATATCGCTGGTATTCGTTGCGATGAGTCAGGTACCAAATGCCCAGGATAGCTGCCACGATGAACAGAGCGCATCCCGCAATGACACCGGCGATCAACGGCGTATTGATCTTCTTCACTGGCCTCTCATAGCCGGGCACCTCGGTGTGATACAAGCACTCGCCCGTGTCGCATTGCAGGAAGATGCTCTCGTCTCCGAAAATGGACTGGATCAAGTCGTTCATGGCAGGTTCGGAGAAGACGCTTCCGCTTTCCTTGCTGTTGGTCGAGGCAATGGACCTGAATTCAGCAGGACCCTTGATGCTCTCCTTCAGAAAGTCTCCAATGTCCACCGAGCCGTCCTCTCCGCAGAGCATCCTGTCGGGCACACACTCGCACTTGATATTCTCGCATCGGTATTTTGTGATGTTGCGGTCGGATTCGGCTGTGAACTGCGAGGTGCAGGTATCGAGGGAGCAGTAGAACGATTCGCGTTGGGCGACCCAGACTAGTTGGAGCTGTCAGCCAAAGGAGTGAATTTGGACCGACAAGACTTACACTGGAAGTTGCACTCTTCTGATTCGGCGTTGCAGGAGAAGGTGGCCTGCGGCTTCTTTTCCTTTAATTGATCGAGAATCTTCCGGTTGGTGATGTCGCAGATCTGGTAGTTCTCCTTGACCAGTTGGCCGTCTTTGTAGCACACGCCACCCTCGCCTTCTGGCATGAGAGCATTGCAAGCTTGATTCGTCTCGCAGACGTTGCAGTTGATGCCTGTCCAGCCCTCTTTGCACTGGCACTCTGCCTCGCCTCCACGGGGTGCGCGGTCTTTGCCATCTGCCAGCGAGCCGCACAGCGGTTCTGAGCAGTCTACTCCCCCGAAGCCTGGCGGACAATTGCATCGGCCGTTGGCTTTGCTACAGTCGGCGAACTGGTGGCACTTGAAGTCGTCGAGGTTGCAGTTGAAGCATGGCGGACATCCGTCTGGGCGATCATCGTACAAGGAGAAGAGGGAAGCTTGCGAATCGGGGAGCGAATAGTTGGCCAGCGTTTTGTGAGCTGCAGAGCTGCCTGTCAGACTGATCAAGGCGAGCAGCGACGCCGCCCAAGCTGTTTGGCGCATCGTGTGCATGTATGAGGCGCAACGCGAGGGAAGCCTGCTGTCAGTGGCGTGTAATCACCCAGATCAGCCAGCAACAAACGGAGCGACTGTTGGCGGCGGTAAAGGACCATGCGAGCCCAATAGCTCAGCAAGGTCGGAACGGGATGGCGAGAGAGAGCGACGAAGGATGGTGGAGGTGGCGAGAGGAGCAGAAGGATGCGGGCGCAGCACACATGGACGATGATGGTTGCTGGGCGGTATCATCGGCTATCCGTACTGCCCATGTGTTGTTGATACGATGATTCGTGGGGGCTCCAACACGGCCAAGCTTCATGGCTACTTATGGCGAGGGGCCCACCGCTACCGGTACTAGGTAGGCCGAGGCACAAGCCATGCATCCATTCACTGGTTAGAGTACATGGGGGAGCACAGTACTACATCATACAAGCAGGTGTCACGATAATTCCACTGACCTATGTGAGTCTTGACACGTCAAGTTGATCGGCCACAATCTGCATTGGACGGAGAGCCAAGGCCATGGTCGGATGGGTAGGTAGTACCCAAGTAAGTGACCAAGTAGCTCAGTGCCGAGCAGCTCTACCTATGAAGCTCTACCTATGAAGCTCTACCTATGAAGCTCTACCTATGAAGCTCTACCTATGAAGCTCTACCTATGAAGCTCTACCTATACAGACAGAACTAACTTGAACCTGAAGGCGAGCCGGGCCCCTCTCCCTCTACCGGTACCGGTATAGCTAGGCCGGCCCGCTCGAGTGGAAACCATCTGCGAACTTCGGTAGCCATTGGACAACGCGCCCTATGTCAACTACCATCCTGCTCTAGACTGCACAACTATACCATACTTGACAGTCGGACGGGGAAATAAATGTTCAAGAGGCCAAACTTCCCCTCTCCTGGACAGAACTGAACCGAACTTCAATCACGCTAGGCAAGATGGTCAAGATCGACGAGTTTGCAGTAGAAGCAGTATGTACCTGTTACCCCGCATGATCTTGACTCTTGAATGTACAGTGGCAAGGCTGACTCTGCGCAGTGGATGGATGCACATGAGCACAACTGCAAGTACAACATTGCCGAAACCTGTTGTGCCTCCATCTCCATCGACCAACTGCGAGAGCTCTCCGAGAACAAGACAGGACCAGTCATCGACACGGCCAGGATCCTCAACTACGGCACCATACGCGGATCCGACGAGCTACGCAACAACCTCGCGCGCCTCTATTCAGCCAAAGTCACTGACCCCTTGTCTCCCGACAACATCCTCACCACAGCCGGAGCCATCCAAGCAAACTACCTTGCCGCCTACGCCCTCGTTGGCCCCGGCGACCATGTCATCTGCCACTATCCAACCTACCAGTCCCTCTACGACGTCCCCAAGCAACTAGGCGCAGAAGTCGACCTGTGGCAAGCATCTCCCGACAACAAATGGATCCCGAGCATCGACGACCTCAAAGCCCTCCTCAAGCCCAACACCAAACTCATCGTCCTCAACAACCCCAACAACCCCACCGGCGCCGTCCTCGGCAAATCCTTTCTCCAACAAGTCATCGACATTGCCGCCGCATCCAACATCACCATTCTCAGCGATGAAGTCTACCGCCCCCTCTTCCACTCCATCGGGCCTCTCGACAAGGACTTCCCGCCTTCCCTCCTCTCCATCGGCTACCCCAACGTCCTAGTCACCGGCTCCCTCTCCAAAGCCTACTCCCTCGCCGGCATCCGCGTCGGCTGGCTCGCCTCACGCAACCCAGACATCATCAACCGCATCGCCTCGGCACGACACTACACCACAATCTCCGTCTCGCAACTCGACGAGCAAATCGCCGCCTTTGCCCTCCACCCTTGCACCGTCCACGCCCTCCTCGCCCGCAACATCCAACTCGCAAAAACCAATCTCGCCCTGCTCGACCGCTTCGTCATCAAGAACGAAGACGAGTGTGACTGGGTGCGCCCCTTGGCCGGTACCACGGCTTTTCTCCGCTTCCACCGCGAGGGCAAGCCTGTGGATGCAGTGGATTTTTGCAGCAAGTTGCTCGAGCAAACGGGCGTGCTGCTGGTGCCGGGGTCGACGGCGTTTGGCCGCGAGTGGAAGGGCTATGTGAGGATTGGGTTTGTGAATCAGACGGAGGTGGTGAAGGAGGGATTGGATGCGCTGACGAAGTTTGTGAGGAGGCAATTGGAGGATGTGAAGCTTGCTGAGTAGGGGGCGTGGTGCACTGTAGTTGTAGAAATGCTTGGGGTGTTGGACGGGAGGGGTGGGATACATGCTCGACCAAATACTTTCCAATATCAGCACTACACGATCCAGCACAATTCTGATGAGCAAAGAACTGAACCGGCGTCGGTGAGTGATGGGTTGTGACACACCAGTACACATCTGCACATCTCACCAACGCCCAGCCGCGCGCAGCAGGCACTTGTGTACCGGTACAACGATGACACCGACAACGACGATCACAAGGACAAGGCCAATCGTATACCTACATGTACCTACTATGTACCTAGCCTGCACGCCCACGACACGACGCATGCACGACACCAGCGTAAACAAAGTGTGGGACTGCACGTTGTGCGTTGGATTTTAGTTGCCGCGGGAGATGTTTGATGTATTGGCGATGGGGGTGGGAGTTAGCTTAGCTCAGTGCTAGTGGAAGGAGGGTTGTGGGTTGATGGGCGCGAGCTGGGAGAAGGGCTGGGTTTTGGATTTGAAAAGGAATGGATTGTGGAGTATTGTACTGTCTGCTATACCCAGTAGGCGCCAGTGTTGTGTCAACACAAGCAAGAGTAGACAGTAGCAAAGCCGTATCCAATAAATCCACGTCGGGCATACCGTACATGCACAAGGCAGGACTACTGCAACCCAAACGCAGCCAGGAAAAACCAGGGAACGAATTACAACACCATCTACCCCACCGTACCTCGCTTGACCTGCCTACACTATCCCATCCCACCCAGCAAGAAGAAAATCTCTCCCCAGGAAACCTCGAGTAGAAGAGAGATCGAACGAGACAGCTGTGTGCGTGCGTGTAGCTTTGCAGAGTCGATGCGACACAGCGATACTCCCGTGCAGCACAGTTTTGGATTCGGTTTCAGTTTCAGACAGCAGAGGCAATGTGTTCTATACCTTTAAAAAGGGGAAGAGAAATAGGAAGAAGAGGGTTTGCAAACGGGTGGGGTTGAAACCTTTTTGCTGATGGGAGGAGGGGTTGATTTGGAATCGACAAGGAAACGACTGTGTACTCTAGGGTAGGGATATAAGGTATAAGTTTCAGTAGCATTGCGAACGCGGGAATAGCAGGTTTCAGAAGGAAAAAGAGGCAGCGAATGGGAGGGAATGGTTCGCTGATTCGCCAGGTTCTGGGTTTCTGGGATACAGTGGTACTCCTAGCGATGGGGAGGCAGTAGGGTTCACATGAAAGGTTCAAAGTCTTGCAGGATGGCCGCCGGTTGTGGGGATCGATAGAGGGGAGCGGATATACAGTTCCTGTAGCTGGTTGGTGGATGCTGGTCGTTCATCTCCGTGCACTTTGTGTGTGGGTTTGATCGAGATATTGTCTTGCAGGGATGAGAGCGTGATGGGATGAACAGTTGAACAAGCAAAACCGCACCGCCGCATCTGCGATCGCGCCTGTTGGTGCGAGACATCAGGAGTCCACTCTGATGAGATGCGATCGTCCGCAAAGAGTCGGCACCCTGCAGTAGAGTACAATCCAGTGCAGTGCCTTACCGACACCACCACCACCACCACCGCCGCCCTACCTCCCCCATCGCCAAAACCCAAGACCAAAACCGCAAACACCGACCAAAAAAACCTACGGCGCAGAAAACACTCAATAATGTATACCGCCCCCCCATCGCCCACCCGCCTACCATCGCACCAACGTACCTCTTCTTCCCCGCATCCACTCTAGACTACTGGTAGTCGTGACTCTAGACCTCCCACACCGTTACTAACCCGACCTAGCGCCTTCTGCATTCAGCGCAATGCGCGAGGTGTGGCAAGTGGATCTTGTGGCGAGGGGAGATCGCTCATCGCTCATCGCTCATCGAGATTGACATTGCCCATTGATGTTGACATCGGGATTGACATCGGGATTGACAAATCGATGTGGGAAATTGGGTGTGGCGACATGGAGTATCGAGATGGGAGTTTGGATTTGCGATGGGGGGTGGGGTGTGAGACTGTGGCGATGGGGGTGGTGTGGATGGGATGGGATGGGATAGGATGGGCTATGATGGTGAGTATGATGATGATGGTGAGTGTGCATGTGCCTGTGTCTGTCCATGCACATG